CCCCCCCTGATACCCTCCGGCAAAACCAGAAACAAGCCCCTCCAGCCCCAAATCCCTCCACCTCCCCCCCGCTCCATTGCCCGCAGCCCCATTCCCCCCAAGTCCTCCACCCACACCCCCAAGCCCCCCTCTAAAACCCCCCACCATCGCCCGACTAATCCCAAACGCAGCATGCTGATCGGGCACCACATCGTCCTCGTCCTCCGGATTCGGCGGCTGGAACTGCGGCGCCACGTAGATCTCCTCGATCGGGAGGTAGGACGGGTTCGCCCCGGGGGGCACGTTCGTGTTGGCGTTGGCGGCGGCGGCTGCGGCGGCTGCTGCGGCGGCGGCGATGGAGTAGCTGCTGGAGGCGAGGTTGGTCGAGGAGGAGGAGGCGGCGAGGAGCAGGGAGGAGGAGGCGGAGGAGGCAGCAGCCGCGGTGTGCGTGTGCGGGCGCGCGAAGTCTTCGAAGTAGTCGGCGAGGCGGGGGTGGTGCATGTGGATTTGGTGCGGGGTGGAGTCTTTGCTCTTTTGGGGGGGGGGGTTAGTATTGGTGCTTGTATGAGGGGGATGGGAGGACAGGGGAGGGAGGTACCATTTTGGTTTGGTTCTGGGGGGGGTAAATTGTGGGTGGTGGAGGGTTTTGGGTTGTGTTGAGGTTGGGATGGGATGTGAGGTTCGTTGAGATTGGTGATGTTTGGTGAGAATGTGAGAGAGGGAAGGTATGGTGTGGTTCGTGGTGGTTTGTTTGAAGAATGAGATGCGATGGTGGTGGTGGTGTTGGAGTTGGAGTTGGCGGAGATAAGAAAGGTTATCGGAGACAAGAGATAGGAACAAACTACAGTACGGAGACAGGTGTACAGCAACAGCAACAGCAACAGCAACGGGACTACACTAGAGGAGCAACTTCTACTACTACTCTCACGACCACAAGCCCCTACCAAACAATCTAAGCAATTCTCTAATCATAATACATACTAGCATCCCACGCCCCCAATCACAAATTCGTGCTCATGCGATGCACAATCGGTACCGCACTCGGAGGCAAGCTGCCCATCTCGGTGACCACCATATCCACATACTCGGCTGGCGTGACGTCGTACATGATGTTGAGCAGCTGCAGGTTGGCCGACTCCTTCCACCCCGTCAATGGCGAAGAGACATTCTGCGCCAGCGTGTTCGACTCGGCCGCCGCATTGGCCGCCGCCGCTGCCGCCGCCGCCGCCGACTTCCCACCACCGCCGCCGCCGCCCTTCTTCGCGTCCGCCGCGGAGACCGTCACCGCCGCCGGATCCGGCAGGCCGGTCAGCTGCTGCATGGGCTCGGCGGTGATCAGCTCATCCGCGTCGGCGATCTCGTTGACGACGATACTGTCGAGCGCGACGCGGTCGGTGAATTTGACCGTCTCGCAGCAGACGATGACGGGCACCTCGACGCCGCCGGCGCGCTCCTTGGCGCTCATGGCGACCAGCGCGGTGCCGACGCGCGAGTACAGCCGGCCGTTGCTGGTCATGGCGTGCGCGCCCAGGAAGACCTTGCTGGCCGCCTTGATGGCGTGGCTGATGCCGTGCACGAGCGAGTACTGCACGTCCAGCCCGGCGTTGGCCAGCGTGCGCGCCAGGCTCTTGCCCTCGAACAGCGGCCGCGAGTCGATGATCGAGACCCGGAACTTCTTGCCCTGCTTGTGCGCCAGCAGCAGCGTCTGCTTGACGATCGAGCTGCCCGCGAACGTCACGATCACGTCCCCGTCCTGGATCTTCTGCGCGGCGCTGCTGGCAATGACCTGGTCCGCCACAGTGATCTTCTCGCGGATGAAGCTGTCGATGAACTCGCCCAGGAACGCCTTGGCCTCCGCCTCGGGCGTCGAGGGGTCGATGGACGAGATGGCCAGCTTGAGGGCGCGGATCGCATTACCCTGGCTGATCGACAGGGGCCGACAGGTCGACAGGTAGGTGATCTGGTGGGAGAGGTAGGTCGTCAAGTGACGAGGAAGGGAGGTTCCCATGGGCGTAGTGTACGCTTCAATGACCTGCAGCGGTCAGCGTCAGCAGTCAGTAACAGAATTGACTCCAGAGCATTAATCCCAGTAAACAAGCCTCGCCCAACCCCTTATCCCAGAGTATAACCCTGGCCCTGCCAGAGCCAAGTCTCAAAAGAGAATAAAACTCACCCTCTTAAAAGCCAACAAAGTAGCCACACACCGCGCACTACTCCCACAAACCACATAATCCCTCATCTGCAACCCCAGCGCCAACACAGCCGGATGCACCTCCTTGCCCGCCCCGGCCACCGTCGTCCGTCTCTGCTGCCCGTAAAGATGTCCAAACACCGCCACATTCTTATCATCAGCCTTCTTACCACCCTTACTCTCCCCACCACCACCACCGCCAGCACTCTTCTCCAACCCCCCAGCCGGCACCGCACCAGAGACACTACCTCCCCCACCATTCTGCGAGGCATTCTGCGCGGATCCCCGACGAGGCACCTGTTTCGATCCAGAAGCACCAGCAGCCGATCCGCCGCCGCCGCCGCCGCCGCTACCATCCTTCTTACCGGGCGTGGCGGCACCACCAGAGGGAGCTCCCCCCGCGGGGCCAGAGGACTCGCGTTCAGCGCGTTCGCGGGCCCGGCGCGCGGCCTTTTCGGCCTTGGCTCGCTTTTTCAGTTCGGCGGGGGTCAGTTGGGCGGTTGCGCTGTCGGCGGGGGCAGCCGTAGCGCTGGTGGCAGCGGTGGCGGCATCTTTGGATTTGGTGGCCGACTTGGAGGGCTTTTGTGATTGGGAGGACGGTTGCTGCTTCGTGGGTTTCGAGGAGGTGGGTGCGGTGGAGGGGGTGGACGTGGTGGGAGTAGCAGCAGCTGCTGCTGCAGGTGAGGGGGAGGGCGCGGTCGGAGTTGAGCTCGTCATTTCGCCGGTCGTGGGCGTGGTCGTCGCGGTCGCGGTCGCGGAGACAAGGGATTGCGAGGAACTGCTGTTGGTGTGCGCTGACAGGATCGGGGTGGTCATCAACAGGAGAGATTTCCAGAAAGGATGACGGCCGGCGCGACAAGCATTGAGGTGAGACCAGAGAGATTGAGAATCAGGTTCCAGTTGTTGCGGGCGACTTTTTCGGAGCGGATTGGGAAACGGAATGTGGGGAATCAGAAAAGGGCTTGAGTCACGAGTTTGGTTTCCGCGTCGGATAAAGAAACCCTCCATCTGGATTATTCGTGACTCTACTAAAGTAGGACAGACTGAATTCACATTATTTCTTACTGTCCTTCGTAAGAGGTCCTTCGTAAGAGTAACACTCGCCTCTTATATGCCGTCATTCCATTCAACTCATTCGGGCATCAAAACATTTCATCGTGGCGCGGTCTGGCGGGCATCTCCTCGAAGATCCTACCATACATACAAATCGTTCCATCGTGGCATCAGTACATGAGTTAAAACAGCAAACGAATCACAGCACGCCAATAGCAAAGATAACCATCCCAGTCCAGCTATTATAAGAACCGGAGGTCTTCGGAATCACACCATTTAGTCCAACACCAATCCGCATAACGCCGTCGAATCCCAGAAAGCCACCCCACGCTGCAGTCAAACATCTCCGACTATCGATTGTTGCCCCAGATGGCGCCTAAGGCTCGTCGGCTCTTTCGCTCCTTTTTCGCCGGTTGAAGGGGTTGGAATCGTTCATGGTCCGTCGCCAACTTGCGTTTGAACACACTCAGGTCCTCCAACAGGTCTTCCATGTGTGCCTGCATCTGGTGCGCTTCCAGGTGAGTCGAGTTCTCGTCACTCCCAGGGGTGCTTTCTTCTTTCCGTATCGAATTCGGCTCTGACTCGTCCCCGGATGTAGGGGCTGGAGACAGAGCCCGACTGTAGCGCTTACGCACGGACGGAGAGCCATCGTTTTGATTCACACCGTACAGGCTGCTCCGCCGCTCCGGCACAATCACCGGGGGGATGGGGTTCCGGATACTATCCAACGCCAATTTGAGATGGTTGCGAAGGGCCTCGTTCTCCGTCTGCAGCTGGCGGATCTTGCACTCGCTGACCATCTTGGTTTCCTCCATCAACCGTTGCATTTTCTCCACCTTTTGCTGGTATTCCTCGAGCCGCTCGTTCTGAATCTCGCTCTCCCGCCGGTTGACGGTCGCTTGGCTAACACTCAGCTGCAACGTGCGGATGGTTTCGGCCATCTCAGCAATCTGCTTGTCGCGCTCCGCAGCAGACAAGTGGTCCTGGTTGACTCGGGCACGCGTGCGAATCCGCTTGGCCTGGTCGGCATACCGCAGCGTTGACAGCGTTTCTTCGTAGTCGGAGGGTGAGATGCACGCAATCATGGCGGTCTTGGAGTTGCCGCCGAGACTGTCTTTCAACAGCCAGGTGAGGATCGAATCTCGATAGGGGACGATGTCCTTGCCCTTACGCTTCGCTGGACGGCCCTGCTGCGGATCAGCTAGGGCCGCAATCACCCGTCCCAGCGTCGTCAGCGATTTGTTGATATTGGATCCCTCCCGGAGACGCTGGCCGGTCGCCTCGGTGGACTTGGCTCGCTCCGAACCCGCCAGATCGACCAGACGGATCCGCGCCGTCCGCTCGGTAGTCTCGTCAGTCGACAAGTCATGGTGGATCTGCTTCAGCGTGATCGTGAAGACCGCATGCGACCGCGAGGAGGTATCATTCATCTTCGTGCTGGCCACTGTCCGGGACATATCGCCTTTCCGCATGTACCGCATAATCTCCCCGTAGTCCTTCACCGTCACCTCGGTCAAATCCTTGACATACGGTCCCTCCGTCGGGGATTCGCGGATGCGGAGGTAGTGTGGGGGCTCCGTGCGCGGCACCAGCAAGTCACGCACATGCTCGTTGTAGACCTCAAAGTACGAGACGCGGACATTGTAGCTGATATCCGGGGCTTCGGCGGTTTCGATCCGTTGGAACAAGTCCTCGCAGGTCCGTGGGATCAAGCCCGGCTGCTCTGACGTCCCCATCATCGTATAGCTCTTCCCGGAGCCCGTTTGCCCGTACGCGAAGATGCAGGTATGGTACCCCTCAAAGTTGTGGTCCAGAAACTCCTCTCCCAGACAGTTGTACACATCCTCCTGCGTCGCATAATGTTTATCTTTTGTGTTGTGCGACCAGAACGAGTTGTCGAACACAAACGACTTATCCTCCTGGACCTTTCCGCGCGCCTGCGACTTGGGTTTCCCTTCATCATCGGGATTGGATCGAGGTGCCCGTAGCTTGGTTGTCTGGGTGTGCGGGTCCATGGAGATCAGACATTGGGCTCTTCGCTCGATTTCTGGAATTCATTGGGCAGTACCAACCCGCGATCAGCTTCCTTCAATCCTACTCCCGTCCGGGGACAGAGACATACCTCTAGGCAGAAAGGTCCGCACTCGGACAACAACGCGGACGTTCCCTCCGGGCGAGGGGCTGGAGAGACCATCCACTCGACGCGCGGCGACGGGAACGCTTTCGCGAGCGCGCAGCGAAGGGCTCGAGGCGGTTGACCGTAGCATGGCCGCAGAAGCGGTCATCGCGTGGGAGGATGGGCTAGTGATGCCGGTGATAGCGGACATCGCAGATGACGTGACCGAAGCCGGGGAGCTGAGCCCATTGCCGTAGCCGAGATGGTGGTAAACCCGGGGATCCAGGGCCATGTCGGAGCCGTGATCGAGTAGAAACTGCAGAAGCTGAGTGAGGTGCTCGTGCTGGCGTTGCAACAGGCAGTGATACATACGGGCAAGGCCAAACAAGAAAGACAACTGCGGTCAGGTCGTCACTGCTTGGTTCGTTGGGGGGCCCCCCGTGCACCGGATAAGTTGTCCTTTCCCGTGGGCAGGGAGATCCAATGATTTAGTAGCAGGCGCGATGCTCCGGGGGACTTTCGGGTTCGAGGTTGGTCAATCAATCGCACTTTGGTTCTAAACAACAATGATCGGCCGGTGGCATGGGTAGCTACTATGAAACGGAGTAGATTGTCAACAGTTCGGGATCGAATTGGGGGCTTCTGCGATGGAAAGTCAAAGAGAGAAACATGCAGCAAAGAACGCAAGGAGGTCGAAGACAAGACACACCCTCTCTGGAGAGTGAGGCGCAAGAAGGCGAAAGAGAGACAGTAACAGACAGTATGGACTTAGTAGCAATGAATGAGGAGGTCGCGATATGGAGAGGGACCGGACTCGTTTGGGGATGTCCCGATGGGGACTAGACGACAGCCTTAGGCCGCGGTAAGGCCATCTCCCCGGCTGCGGTTGCCATAGCAATTTATCCCGAGACCAAGTCTCTGGCCCATTTCCAAGTGCTGAGAGATGAGACAACTTACAAGTGGATCAAGTCAAGGCAAGTCCATTGTGCTACAGTGGGTCAGAAGAGGAACCCCGGATGTTTGGAATCTTCGACATTTCGATGTTTCAATCACAACTAGCACAAGTAGTTACTAGCATAATTCCAATTCAATTCAATTCATGTCATTTCATCTCATTTACACATGTCTCAATCGCATAGCATAAGGCTGACGCCGATAGACGCAGTCGCTGGTCGACTGTGCCTCTCACTGACCGTCCTGAGACAGTTCTGATTCAAATCTGGGAGTTTAGTCGAAGTCATCGTTGGCCGCAGCAAACATGTCTCCTTCGTCCTGGCCTTCACTGCGGCCGCCTTTAGACGCCTTGCCCATCTTGTCACCGTCAACGTAGGAGATGGGATCAGGCACAGGGTTGCCGTCGCGGTCCATGGTGGTCTCGAACATTTCTTCCGGACTCCAATTGGCAGTGGGATCGTCTTTCTTCGAACCGCCGGCCTGATTCTGGGCGGTTTGCGACATGCGCGAGGTGGTTTTAGCTTTTGAGGACTGCATGGTAGAGAATCGTTCTGTTCTCAATTAGTCGCAGATATCGTAAATCGTATACCCACAATACAGTCGACAGCAGCACTCCTGAGACAGGAAGGACGGCCAGCGTACCAGTGATGATACAATTATTCGATATTGGTTCCAAGACTGATTGCACTAATTTTGGATAGGTCCGAGAGCCGGTCACGGTGGGAATTGAGGGGATTATATGGCCCACGGTGGCACAGATGATGCGACAATGACGCTGGGACTTGAGGAAGTGGCTCATGAAGTGGTTGCGAAGCTGATTGCTTCCCCGCAAATTGGTGAGGTCATGACGGGAGTTGGCGATGAGAGGTATTGGTTGCAGCCTCGGGCTGGCCACGACATCCCTCTGGTTCGGCTGTCAGTTCACGCCAGGTTCCACGGATAACTCCCTCCTTTTTATCCAACGCGAGTTCCATGGTTGAGCCGATGCCATATGGCTGACAGATTTCATTGTGTGGAGGAGAACAGACGGGGTCGGGACGGACCAACGGATGCCACCAGCATATTCACGATAAGCAGCCAAGAATGCGGAATCCGCCGGAGGGCTTGGGGTTCGGAGGATAGGACTGGAGAGAAGTAAGGCAGACAGGAGATAGGGCTAACTATCGGTTGCAGGCTGCAGAGGGTGAAGAAAACGCCGAGCCGTGCAGAAGCAATAATGGATAATTGGTGATCGGAGGCTGATGCACGAGGGAGGGAGGCTAGAAGGGACTATCGCTGTCGGTAGACCAGACTGCCCCGATTGCCACGCTCTCTTTCACCGGGTGGGCTGCTTCATGTTGATGGAGTGGAAAGTTCTGTGCGATGTGGTAGGAATGTATTGCAACCTTGAAGTTGTGGATGACACTTCTCACAGTCAGCCAGCTTACATACCATACAATCATCCGGACAGTGCAGTACAGGACTGTACATGGACTGCATCCTCCACTTCAATTCAGCCCTATCCGACCGGGTGGATCGAATGAGCAACTGGCGGGATTCTCCTCCTTCGCCTCTCCTCCTCCCATCCCCCATCCACCCGTTGTTTGACTCACGAGAACACCAATGCAGCGCCAAGAGAAACAGACTAAACGAGTCTGCACTCTGCAGTAGTGGACTAATGGCAATGGCGCAATCTGGACAATCCGCCCCGGTGAGTCTTGGGGTTGCCATTTGGTGAGAAGAGGCAGGGAAGAGACCAATCCGCGGGTCTTATCGTTTGGCCAAGATGTAACTAGTCATCGTGCGCCGAGAGACGATCTTCATCACTGTTCATGTTTTTTTCACTTTTTCTCGCCCAGGCTACCTGTCAGCTCCGGACTTTGCTCTGAACATTTTCTTCCGAGGCCGGTTGTCGGCGCCGCTGTCGATAAATACTGTGACTGCCCCAGACCCGGCGCCGGCGTTGTGCAGGCCCAATTTCCCGACTCTTCCTCTCTGTCCATATCAGTTGGTAGTATTCACCAGAAACTACTACCCCAAATCACACATTCATGGCTGAGAAGCCCCCCGTCTCGTCTACCCCCGAGGGGAGCGACCTCGAAGCCTCCGACCCGGAACCCCAGATGAAGAAGCTCACCTTCTCCCAGCGCTGGAACCAGAATGTCGACCCGAAGCACACCGACCTCATCTGTTTACTGCTGTGCTTCACCACGGGGCTCTGCGACAGTAGTGCATATAATGCGTGGTCGTGTTTCTTAGCCATGCAAACGGGTACGCCATTCTCCCTCTTACCTCCTCACCTTATCTTCCCCCTTCCCTCTTTCCCCTTCCCCCTCTCCCCCCACTATCCCCTCACCCTAACTAACACCAATCCATTCCCCAGGAAACACCATCTTCCTCGGCCTAGGCGCCTCCAACCAACCCGCCAACAAACCGTGGGGCTGGCTGAAATCCCTCATGAGCATCGGGTGGTTCTTCATCGGGGCGCTGGTCTTCGCCAACCTGACGCGACGCAGCGGCAACCGCGCGCGGGGCACTCTGGTGCTCTCCTTCCTGGCGCAGACGATCCTGATCATCATCGCCGTGGCCATCATCGAGGCCGACCTGATCCCGCACACCTCGACGGACAGCAAGCTGACTGGCGGCCGGCTGTTCCTGGAGCTGATCCCCATCGCGCTGCTGGCGTTCCAGTCCGCGGGGTCGATCACCTCGTCGCGCGCCCTGGGCTACAACGAGATCCCGACGGTCGTGCTGACCAGCGTCTACTTCGACGTGGCCTCCGACCCCAAGCTGCTACAGGTGCCCAACGGGAACGTGAAGCGCAACCGCCGGATCGGCGGGGTCGTGTTCCTGTTGATCGGAGCGATTGCGGGCGGGTGGTTGAGTAAGACCTCGGGCGGGATGGAGTCGGCGCTGTGGATGGCGGCCGGGGTGAAGTTGGTGATTGGGTTGGGGTGGTTGGTCTGGAAGGGGGAGACGAAGGGTTGAGTGAGGTCAAGGGGGGGGTTAGCTGGCGGATTGAGTAATGTTGTGGGTTTTGAGATATAGATGTGAATACAGTACATTGATAGAATTCCTACTTGGTTGATTATTTGTGTTGATTCAGTCAAAGTGTACTGTAGACTTGAGTTGCTGGTGGCAGACTATACTACCTACGTAACAATTCGTCCAAGAACCTCTCAAGAGTGCAATTACTTAAACGGGCCACAATATGAAGCTACCTATACATTATCCTATCTACACATGCCCACCCGTATCCCCACGTACAGCACCTGCCCTATAGTACTCATCACTACTATACGTTCAACCTCTGTTAGAATAAGTGCCCTAACTTGAACTCTCCGCACCACACAGTTTCCCCACGCTTTAATCATGCTACCTCACTATTTCATCCAGTTATAATATGACGATCTGGGGAAGAACCCCCAGACCCCCCTTTCTTTCAACTTCCCAGTATCCTCAACCCCAAGGCCAAGTTATCATATAACAATCTGGGGGAGAACCCCCAGACCCCCCTTTCTTTCAGCTTCCTGGTCACCACTTACCTCTCACCCCTCACCCCTCATTAACAACCAGGACAATAACAGCGAAATATAAACATCACAACCAACCCTCAACACACATACAAAATCTACACCCACTACACCCCCTCAGCCACCAACACCACTGAACCGAAGTCCACCCAAAGAACCCATCCCAGCCAACCACCACAAGGAGGGTCACGGGTACCAGTCCCCAGCCTGCATCCGGCTCTGGCCGCGAGCCTGGCAGGCGAATGGATGGGGTAACTGGCTGGATGCGGCACTAGCTTCCAGTTTCACTCTCCACCAGCTAAGTAAAGAGGTTTGCCTCCACCAATACTAGCGGCACCGTCGATCCCCACTCAAATCGCACCCACGCATTGAACTTTGAAGTCCCGATGACCGCGACCCTTCCCCACCTCCAACGGATAACCCCTCATCCCCCTCTCCACCACCTCCACCACTGCACTGCACTACGCATGTAGCTTCTAGGAAGACAATAGAAAAGACAATAGCACAACCACAACCCCACCCACTCAACTCCTCACACCCAAGCCCATCAGAGATCAAACACTACCCCAAGTACACAGACAGTAAGTTACAGTACAACAATCCAACAAAGACCGCGGGCGCACCCACTTACCCCAAACATACCATCCTACATCATCATCACCACCACCCCATCCAACCCAAAGTCAAGTACCCAGCAAGCACAAGAATCAACGTCATCCAGACCCAAGCAAGGAGCCAACCCGCCTTCCCTCAATCTACAAACATAAAGAACTCAGTACATACCAGACAATAACCGTGCATGCATAACACGCACACACCCAGCATTCCCGCCCGTCACATCCACTGTACCGTGCGTGGGCTTACGCTCTCTGAGATCATACATTCCCACCCATTCTCGTACGAGTACAGCACAGTACAGGACTATGTCTGCGCACATACCCTAGAAACAGTATGACCTCACCAACCGCCTACCGCCTACCGCCTACCATCCACTATGTACTGAATTGCAGTACTTGAGAAGTGCATGTCTTGCAGTGCAGGATAAGTACAAGAACAAGTAGGTGGGTGGGAGGTAAGAGGTGGTAGATGGTAGGTACAGCCACTGAGTAATCATTTCCATACATTCCCACATGGTCAACTTCGCCACACGGGGGGGGCGCCGGCCATGCGTGCATGCATGCATGCCATGCACGCGAGAGGAATTCTGCAGGCTTGAATGAGGCCCAGGGAAAGGGGGACTCTTTCCGAGCATTCCTTTGCATTCTGTGAGTATGCTTCTTACATGGGCTTGCTCTTGCTCTCTGGGTTTATGGCGGGGTTAGAGGGGCAGGGGCTATGGGTCATTGGTGTTGCTGTATACGTAGGCAGGAAAGGGTTCCTGTTGAAGGCTGAGGGCAAGGGCTGAAGGGCTGAAATGAAGGGCTGAACTGAAGGGCTGGGCTAAACCCAAGGCGAGAGCGTCACCACGACGGCGGGCGCAGCCACAGCTTTCTTGGTGTGACCTACGTAAGCAGACTAGAATCCTTATGATCACATCGCTACCCTTCAAAGGAATCATTGTATCAGTTGTATACTGTACTATATGTCTATCAACGGTGAAAGATTGTAAATGTAGGCTAAGGTGTCTAACCCCGCCAGTCCCACAAAAAAAGAATGATTCAACCAGCAGTCCCGGGGCGAAACAGTGATCGCAGAATGGTATCATCAAAAAGACAGATCGAACGAAGAAAAAAGCCCACAGGTATCGCAGCAGCAACAAGCAGCGGAGTTCGCAGTTACGCCGTGTGAAACTGAACAAGGCACGCCAAAGGAAAACAAATCCCCAGCCCAGAAATTAGAAGTCATGCTTGAATGCTTCGAAAACAAAAAAGGCAATTCCAGAACGCAGCCAGAAAAAGAATTCGCGTAAGAATGATAGACGGGACTGTTCACCCTGAAGATGCACCAATAAGATGGAGTCACCAAACGCGCTGAAATGCAAGCCGACCATTAAATCCAAGCAGTGTAAGTCGGCAACAACTGCACATGTATCCTGTAATCCTGCGTAATGCGGATAGTGCTGTCAAAAGCTCCCGTGTAAATACCACAAAAAAACCAGAACAAACAAATCAGATATTGCTTTTAAGAGTCGTAGTCGCAGTCGCAATAGAAAGAAACCTAGGCAGCCGACGGGCGACGGAGAATCTCTTCGCAGTTGGCGTCAAACCGCATGTTCCACAAACGGATGCTGTTCATCAGCTTCTCCGTACTCTCCAGCTCGCGATCCCGGCCAAAGATCGTCTCGACAAACTCACAGCCGGCATTGCGGCCCATCGACACAGAGCCCTTGCCCCCTTCCCGCTTGGCCGCCTTCCACATAAACTGCTCACAGGTTTTGAGCAGCTTCTTGAACCGCGCCCACAGGCGTTCCCCACTCTGCAGGAAGTCCTCCACGACCTCCTGCGCCTCGGGACGCCGGATGCGGTCGAGACATTCGTCGGCTCTCTTCACCTTCCCGGCCAATTTGATCAACAGCAGCCACAGGTCGCCCGCCACGTCCGCCATGGGCGTCGAGGCCCCATGCGTGAACACGGTCCAATCGTAGATCCACTTGCCCAGTGAGTTCGCGTCGAAGACACTGCCCAGAAGAATGATCGGCATCTCCGTCGGGTCCCAGTTCTTGATCGAGTAGCCCGGGGGGATCCCTGCTCGGGCAGCGTCGGCTTCTGTGGCTTTGGGGGCCGGCTTGGAGGTGGGAGCGGACGGCTTTGGCTTGTTGGGCGTGCGGGTGGAAGTGGATTGACGGCGCGCCCGAGATCGCTTGGCCGCATCAGCATCTTCTTGGGCAGGCACCTGGTTATAGTAGAAGTACTGATCAGTGGGTGGCTTGGGCTTGCGGTGAGACGTCGACGGTTTGCGACGCGGAGGACTGGGTTCCTCGCGGAAGACGTATCGCGGCGCATCGCCGTCGGATCCATCGTCGACCACATCCACAAAGATGGGCCGGGTGTGCGACGGGTGCGACGGGTGGGCGCCGGCATGTTCCCAAGGGCCCGCCGCTGGGGCCCCGGACATGGTGCTGCGACGACGAGAATAGCCACCAAAAGAAGCACTTACAGGATCGTGCTTGCGCGGTGGCGTGCCATATTCTGGCATCGCTTCGTAGAATCCTTGCCCATACCCAGCATACCATCCGGCGGTTTCTTTGGGACCGGCGTAGCTGGCTTTGCGGTTGTGACGCTTCGAAGGGCCGCGCGGCGAGCCGTAAGCATTGGCGAAGGGGGACGCGTAGTAGGCGTAGTGAGGAGACGTGGGAGGAGAGGTCGTATAGTCGTAGGACCACCCGGGAGGTGGAGTGGTGTAGTGATACATTATCGAG